AAAAGGCTAAAGAAGCCATTAACAATATCCTTTTCTAGCCATCTATAAATAAATAAAAAACCATGGCCATTACTACTCAAGTGACAAGTCCACAATTATTTAAATCTTTCCAAACCAGCAACCATAAGAATGTCACAACAAAGAAGACTAACAGTGAATTCACTCAACTGTCATCATCCTAAAGTGTCTATCACAAGAAAAATGCAAGGAAAGTTCTAAAAATCAGACCTAAACAAAGTAATCATATGGTAAGCCTAACACATAGTCGTGTACTCACAACTGTTATTATACAAGCAAATGAATTAAACAGCATGAACGTGATACAGATGATATTTTCCTACTAAAGGGAAAAGCCCGGAACAACAGTTCATTCAATCAGCAGTACAACCAAAAGAAAACGAAACATACCTTTGAAATTGAAATTGAATCGAGCTCGGAATACTGGAACAGGACAACAGCGTCTTCGACACTTCGTTTGCCCGGAATTTGTGAGGAGCGAGGAATCGAATCGAGCTGGAAATCGCCGCCTATAACCCTAAATTAGTTTGATGCAGAAAATCAGAAATTAAAAAATTTATGCGTCTGAACTCTGAACTCAAAAAGTTCAAAACTTAAAAATATAAAAACTCAGAAAAAACCTCAGAGATAGTCGAGTACTGGGATGAGAATGAGATGAGATGAGACTTACAAAACTTACAAAAGCAGTGAAGTTAACCGGTGAAGATGAGATGAGACTCGAGCTCGACTGTCGACTGGTCGTAACTCGTAAGTCGTAACTCGTAGACTGATATCCTAAGCAGTCGATTCTCGTCTAGACTCGCAGACTGATATCCTAGACTCGCAGTCGATTCTCGTCTTCTTCTTCTCGATGATATCCTAAGCAGTAAGCCCTAATGGCTAATGCCCTACTTTGATGAGAATGCCTAATTTGATTCTCGACTTGGGTCTTGGGTATTAACTGACTTGGGTAATTGATTGGGATTGGGCTTGGGAGTTGGGGGAGCTGGGCCTGGGTGGGACGCGGGGACGGTATGGGACATTGGGACTATGGGCTATTAAATAGGTAATTGAGCTTAGATATAGTCATATATATTATATAGGTTCACCAAATTTTCGGTATTTCGGTTTATCGAAATTGTAAAATTATAATACCGAAAATCGAACCGAAATACCGAAAATCCAGTACCGAATTAGACCGAAATACCGAAAAAACAGAAACCGAAATACCAAATTAATTTGGTTCGGTTCGGAATTCGGTTTTTCGGATTTTATGCCCACCCCTACTACTCAGTGTTACAGTGCAAATGAGATTAGTACGACATTGGAATATTACAATTTTATCCACCAAGTAATTGTCTTTTGTAGAAATATTTTAGGACTATTTTGGTCAACCAATATTATATTCATGCTTTTATAATATTATAGTATTATAATTATAATTATAAATAATATAATATAATTATATAAATAATAATAATAATAATATAGATAGATAGGATATAAATATAGATATAGATAAATATCTATAGATAAATTATATTGGAAAGGATGTGAATGAGAATAACTAAAATAAATATGCCTTTCTCCGATTTCTAAGACTACCTTTCCCATTATAAATTATATGAAAATAATTTCTTACATTCGCTTGTTACGCCAAATAAATTAATATCCTTTCCGATCCATAATAAGTGACCTTTTGGCATTTGACCCAAAATACTAACTTCTAGAAAAAAAAGTATTTTGACTAAATTGTTCTTAATTAAATTTTGTATATTGTTAACTTGACACATTGGAATATGATAATAAGCACAAATTTAAAAAGTTAGAGTTAATTTATTCTTGATTATGTATCTAGGAAGAATATATGGGAAAGTTAATTGCCAACAGAGTTTAAAAACTAGAGGTAAAGGGACGATTGGTGTATCATTTACGGCTAGCTCGTATGGCTGTTTATGATTCCCCTTCGGTTTGGAAAAATGATACTGTATAGCTGATGTAAAAATAATAATCATAAAAACGTATAAAATTTGTATATATATATATATATATATATATATATATATATACATTCTGTATGTTATATACAAAAGTTATACAAGTTTTATACACTTTTTCGGCTACCAAAATGTAAATAATTTTTGACGCAAGCTAAACGTGATATTACCCCATTCGGTTTTTGTGTCTAAATCGAAAACCAAATGAATTATATTGGTCTGTTAGATGTACAAACAAAACCAAACCAAAATATTACTTCTCAAGGGAGGACTTTGTCATTCTTCTTAGTACGTACAACTGAGAAGGCTCTTTATCCATTCCAAGATACATTTCTAGTTTCCTGTTGAAAACAATGATTCTTACCTTTCTATAAATAGAACTTATAAAATACATTTTAGAGTAGAAAGAGTTACACAAGACTTTGTTTTGCAATTTCCAAGCCTGCAGTATCCACAACTCAACAATGCCTGCAATGACATTTTTCATAGGTACAAGTGTATAGCAAAGAGACAATGTCCCTTTTAATGGCTCTAAGCACGCCTGTATTCATCCCCGCAATCGCCAATAACTTTTTGAAGATCTTTACCCTTGTTTGTGACTTGTAGGATGCTGCTAATGTCTTCTTCATCAAGAACCAGAGAAAACACAGCATTGACATCTTTAATGTGTTCCGACAGACCAAGCCTAACACCTACCATCGATCCTGCCACAGTTGGCTGCAATAGTAATGCAACAGTTTAGCCAAAATGCATCGGTATAACTGACATAACTCTCTTTTTGATATGCAGGAAAATGATTAAAACAGGTAAATACCTGATCTAGTATGTACTTCACGGCAACTGTTGGAATAGAGACTTCATGTTTGCTGGCCACCGTTTTCAGTGTCCTGAGCAACTCTTGAAAGAGACTCCATCCTCCCCAAGCATCAACCATCTGCAAAGTTTTTTTTTCCAGAAAAAAGGAAATTCGTTGAGCCAAATACTCATAATCAAGAAACTATATCTTATGTCAAAATGAGAAGAATTCAAATGCCAAGAAACAGGACAGGCGGTATCCTTCGTTTTGCTCGGTTTCCTTAAAGAGCCAAATAACCAGGCCCCTTCTATAAAAGGTTTACAAAAAGAAGCCCTCAACTTATTTTTGTTTTGCAAGTTCTTGGTACTCACAAAATAATCCCTTCTATGGAGGAATAACAGATTCATCAGCATGACCGCAAAAAGTAGTCTTTATAGGCGAAATTACCCTTTTGTACTTCTGTAGTGAAGGGGTGTTCAATGGAGGGGCAGCGAATGGTATCGATAAGTTGGTATCAAGAAACTTTTCTGATAATAATCCTCCCATTACTGTTCCATACCTGCATTTAAAGCAAAGTTAGGAATACATCAGATAGTGCCACTAATTCATACAAGGTAGCCTGAAAATTAACTACTATCATTTAGGCTTAACGACTTCGATTTAAGGTGATAGAAAATGAGGAAATTATGTATCGTTATAGAAACTTGCATCCTCAAAAGTTAAAAAGAGAAAGAGAGAGAGAGACGGACGTTATTAGTTTGACTCCTGTAAGCTGACAAAGCTCTGCCATTTTCTGTTGAGGACGCATGTCAACAAGTGAATGTTGTACCTGCAGAAACAACCGCTTTTACTTCAGAGCTGAGTGTAGAATATGGAGCAAAGAACAGGAGAGTAATGAGAGCTGTCGACAACTCAATACCTGATTGCTAACAACCGGAATCCCATTTTCCAGAATTATCCTTAATCTCTCAGTGTCAAAATTAGTTAAAGCAATGGTCTTAATCTTGCCTGCATGTCAGCTGTGTAACTATATAGCCTAATAGACAACTTCGGGATGAAAAGCTCCAAGACTGCAATATATGACTAACCTTCTTCTTTGAGATCTGTAAGATGCTTTAGTGCGTCTAGGTAACCAGAATTAGAGTAGTCCCACCTGGTGTTCAAGCAGAAAAGCAAAGAGTAACAGAAACTAAAACTTAATCTTTTCTAATTCCTTCTATAATTTGGTAGATAACTGGAAAGACTAATTCAGTGTGGATCAATACTTTGTGAAAAAGAACTCTCCTCCGATTCCAAGGGCCAAAATTTGTCTGATATGGGACACTCTTATTTGAAGTTCATAAAGGTAAAGTTCGCTATCATACCACACGTTCAAGAAGTGGGCTGCTAGTCTAGGTAAAGATTGCTATACTACACATATAAGACGTTGGCTGCTAGCTTAGTGGTGGAACCTTACATGATGAAAGCAATTATATCACATAAAGGATAGCATTTTGAGAAGAAAAAACAAAAACTCATGAGTAGAACAAGAGATGATAGCTTTAGTGGTTTCTTTTTAATGTGCCTTGAGCGATTGTCTAGTGCAACTTACAGTATGCACTGTTTGTGCTAAACCAAATTAAACCTCAAGAAAATAAGAAGAGCAGTAACCCGCTGGTGTTATTTAATATCTAACATCAGATTGACAGTCTAATATTTTTCACTGCCATTTTCTTAACACTTGAACAATGGCATGAGTAGTATTCTTAATAAGGACTAGAGGCAGTTATTACCAATGAAATTGAAGCATGTCCAAGGATGCAACATCCATCCTTTTCCTTGAAACATCAATGTTCTGAACGACAAAACTGCGGGTCATCTTGACCGGTGGTGGCACCCATTTGGTAAGCCTGCATTGCAAAATCAGAAGAATAAAGTTTAGGGGTCTAACTTTTCCTTCAAGCTATTACAGTTCTTTCTATGCATTGTTATTATGCAAATTTAAGTGTTTAAGCAAATGCTGGTACAATCATAGTCAAGAGGAGATATGCAGATTCATTTAAAAGACTGAAAGAGCAATTACATTCTACTTGCTCAACAATCTTAATAAAGAAGCATGCTTTTGTAACTCACCCTCTCACAGTTTCTAGAAGTTCCGGTGGGCGTTCTCTGCGTACTCTATTAATAAAGATGCCATAAAGATCTTCGGCGGGTCCGTCTGCAAAGCTAACCATGATAAGAATACATTTACTTATAAACATTGTCTCTTTGGGATCCAACTGATCAAAAACTGCTCTAATCCTACATAATATGTTGAGTTAGCATATATCAATAATACTAGATTGATACAAGTAATCAGTGTTGCGGAAGCCAAATGTATATAGTGTGAATGAGTCACAACTACTATACCAAAAATTATGGCAGCCACCAAATAATAAATAAGACAATAAAGCAACAATAAAAGGAACACCAGAATTTACGAGATTCGGCCAATTTTGCCTACTTCCTCGGACACAACCAATATTTTATTCCACTCCAAAATACAAGTGAAATAATACTAAAGAGAGAAGATACAAATGCCTTGAGAAGATAAGAAGGCAAATGAGAGTTGTATTTAAATCCTAAACATTAGGCCTCCTTTTATAGAGAAAAATTCTCAAACCCAAATTGTCACCCACAGATGTGGGACTTTTGACAATCAACAATTAGACACATACAAAACAGTCCACCAAGGTAAATGACATAAGTAACAAGAGCATAATCGCGACAATAAACAAGAAGATAAATTCAGATTTTAAGGTTTACATATGTCAGCCAAGTCAAAAGTGTTAAGTCCAGCATCAGCATATTGAAGCATAGCATCAACTGCACTGTCTCGTTCGATTCTTCCCCATCCGCCACTAGTCTGCCACATCCCATTGGCAACTCTACAAATATCCAGTGAATCTTTCCCATTCTTAACTATAGCACGTTGTTTATCTTCAGTTAACGAGCATTTGAATGGTCTTGGTGTTAATGTTCTTGCTTCAGTTGCTCTAAAAGACTTAATCTTGATTGAGTTCAAGCAAAATTGACTGAAACTGCTGTTCAAGAGCTCTGTCATTCTTGATCAATAAGGTTGTTCAAAGAGTAGTTAAACAGTTATCCCACTTCACATAGAGTAGAATGACATCAAAATATGAGTAGTTAAACAGTCACTGGTTCATTTGAAATAAGGCTTTTCTTATCTGTTTAGATTATTTAGCTACATTTCTATTATCTGTCAAGTGAGTTTTTTACATAACATCTAAAGTACGAAACTGAAAATAGAAAAAGAAAAAGAAAAACTCCAAAGCTAAGACTATACTGACGTGTCCAAGCAAAGCACACAAGAAAAACCAGCCAATCATAACATGCCACGTGCAAGGAAAAAAAGGATATGTTTGATTTCATACAGTGGTCAGCCATGTCGAAAGTTGAAAGACCAGCGTCAGCATATTTAAGCATAGCCTCAACGGCGTCGTTTCGATCAATTCCCCCCCACCCACCACTCGTTTGCCACATCCCATTCAGCACTCTGCATATTTCCAACGTATCGTCACCGTTCTTTAGTACTGCCTGCCGGTTCTCTTTCGCCGCCACCTCCGCCGCCGTCGCGGCGCAGCACCTTGGTGGCGCCGCCCTTCTTCTCCTGCTCGAAAAACACTGTCCATTACCACTCCTTATACTTCTAATACTGCTAGAATAGCTTAAAGGAGTTATTTTTTGAAGGTTGCTGAATGCTTGTTGTGTAGAAATGGCTGTCGACCCCATCTTTTTTACTTGAATTTCTTCAGATTGTTTTTGCTTTCCAATTCGTGTTTCTCTTCGCTTTGATTTGAACCTTTCGTTTATCACGTAAAGGATTTGTATTTGTGGGATTACGAGTATGACCTTGTAAATGACCTCTGTCCAATTTTATGTAACATGTGTTTCATTAGATATGGCATTTAAGAATAAAATTAAAATTATAATCTAAATTAAGTGACTCCATTCATTTCAAAAAAATGAACAACAACAAGCCCATTGAAATCCGAAAAGTGGTCTGGGAGGGTGAAGTTTATGCAGACCTTATCCCTACGTAACGAAGGTAGAGAGGTTGTTTACGAAAGACCCTCGGCTCAAAAGAAGTGAAAATGAAGCAATAAACAGACAGTAACAACAATCAGTTAAGTAGACATGGAAACAAATAAAGATACGTGCAACAACAGATATCTAAGAATATGACATTATAAAAATAGATTCAGTCTTGTGGGAAATAATGACACAATATGAAATAGCAAAGGGCTAAGCATAGAAAAATACAAGACTGTGACTAATACTATTGGGATGCCTAGACGAAACTCTAGACTGCCTATCAATCCACAACCCTAATCCTCGACTTCCACACCCTTCTATCGAGGGTCATGTCCTCGGTAAGCTGAAGTAGTGCCATGTCCTGCCTAATCATCTCACCCCAATACTTCTTAGACTTCCATCTACCCTCCTTTGACCCGCTATGGTGAACCTCTCACACCTCCTAATCGGGGCATCAAGGTCTCCCCTTGTGACGACCCAGCCAGTCGTCTCATGAGTTGCCGCTCCGTTTCTCCCATTTCTGCTTCTTATTGCTTTGTCTATCGGTTCTATATGTGATCGGGTTGGTTGGCTCGGGTTCGGAAAGGATTTGGTAAGGTTTGAGACACTTAGTCTCTTTTGAAGGAGCTTAAGTTGGGAAAGTCAACCGGATATTGACTTATGTGTTAGAGGGCTCGGATGTAAGTTCCGATGGTTTGGATAGCTTCAGGAGGTGATTTTGGACTTAGGAGCGTGATCAGAATGAGTTTTGGAGGTCCGGAGTAGATTTAGGCTTGAATTGGCGAAAATGGATTTTTGGCGTTTTCCGGTTGATATGTGAGATTTTGATATAGGGGTCGGAATGGAATTCCGAGAGTATCACTAGTTCCATGGTGTCATTTGGGATATGTGTGCAAAATTTCAGGTCATTCGGATGTGGTTTGGTTGGGTTTTTGATCAAAAGCGTAATTTAGAAGATTTTAGAATTCTTAGGCTTGAATTCGATGCGAATTTGGTATTTTGATGTTGGTTTGAGCGTTCCGAAGGTTGGAACAAGTTTGAATGAGGTTATGGGATATGTTGGTATGTTTGGTTGAGGTCCCGGGGGCCTCGGGTGAGTTTTGGGTGGTCAATCGGACCATTTCATGCTTTGGAAAAGTTGCAGATTTTTTAGCTTCAACTGTTGCAGAGTTTTCTTCTTCGTGATCGCGTAGGGGGTCTCGCGATCGCGTAGAGCTTTTGTGGGGGATGCCCAGGTTGTTCTTCGCGTTCACAAAGTTGGAGATGCGATCGCATAAGGTGGCGAGATTGTTGATCGCGACCGCGTGGAGAAGGTCGCGTTCGTGTAGAGTTAAGTGGACTAGGGGTTTGACTTGGAGATTGTTCGCATGGGAGTTGGCCCGTTCGCGTAGGGTAAATTTTGGGTTCTGATAAATTGTGCTTCGCGATCGCGAGGAAGTCCCGTGATCGCGATAAAGGATTTCAGGCCTGGGCAGAAGGTTTAAATAGTTGTCTTGTCAGCGATTTTGGGGTTTATTTCCACCATTCTTGATCGTTTTTGGAGCTTTTTGAAAAGGATTGAAGAGGGATTCAAGGGAAATCACTTGGAGTAAGATTCATGGACTTAAAACTCGATTCTAATGTGAAATCTACCTAAATAATCATGGAATCTAAGCCTAAAATTGAAGAACTAGGGCTTGAAATTGGAGACCTAGAATTTGGGATTTGAGGGGTCATTTGTGGGTGGATTTTGATGCTTTTGGTATGAATGAACTCGGGGAGTGATAAGGAATCCATTGATGTGAATTTTATCGAAATCCGAGACGTGGGCCCGAGGATCGGGTTTTGGTAATATCGGGATTTGTGTTATAAATTAATTATTTTCGCTTGGGCTTCGTTCCCTTAGCATATTTTGACGTCATGGTTCTGATTTTGGATAGATTCGACGCGAGTGGAGGCCGATTCGAGGGGGAAAGACGTCGCGGGCTAGAGTTTGGACTTGATTGAGGTGAGTAATGATTGTAAATGATGTCCTGAGGGTATGAAACCTCGGATTTGTACATCGTGTGCTATATTGAGGTGACGCACACGCTTGATGACCTGAGGGTATCAACAAGTCATATTTGTTGATATGAGGCCAAGAGCCTAGTGATGATTCACGAGATGACTTGATATTACGCTTGGGACGTAAGGGGCCCCTCTAGGAGTCTGCACACCCCCAGTGAGTGCGGGTACCCATTGTGATATGAGATGTAGCCCGAGGGGCTGGTATTGTTCTGAGATATTGTCCGAGCGGCGGATTTGTTGACATTGTGCTCGAGGGGCGAACGTTTATATGTTTATCTTTCTTATTTGTCTGTCATTTACCTGTTTAATTGTTGAAAAGGTATTTCCTGATTATTAAACTGAACTTAAATGATTTTACACATCTTTATTGGTTTTACTGCTTCATTATAGCCTGTAATGTGCCTTACGTGTTTTCATATCTCTCAGTCGTTTATTTATGATTATTACTCACTGAGTTGGAGTATTCACTTTACTCCCTGCATCCCAAGTGCAGATTAGGCATTGCTGATCCTACCAATGCGAGTTGAGAGCTTCCGGCATACTTCAGAGTCCACGAGGTAGATGCTTGGCGTCCGCAAACCCGTGTTTCTCCCCCTTTATCTCATTTATATTTCTTTATCAGACATTTTGTAATATCTTATAAGACTTGTGTTAGGATTGATAGATGCTCATGACTAGTGACACCCCGGTATCGGGTTGTGTTGGATTGTTCTTCCGCAATTTGCACTGTTGACTGCTTAATTTTGGATTATTTATCATGTTTTATACTTAATTATCATTGTTAAATGCTTAAAACTTAAATGGGTAAGTGTTGGCTGGCCTTGTCTTCACGAGAGACGCCATCACAACCGGGTTCGGGTTTAGGGTCATGACACTCCTCTTCACATGCCCGAACCATCTCAGCCTCAATTCCCGCAACTTATCTTCTATTGGAGCCACTTTGTCCCTAATATACTCATTCCTAATCTTATCTCTCCTGGTATTCCCACACATCCATCTCAACATCCTCATTTCCGCTACTTTTAACTTTTGAACATGAGATTTTTTGACTGGCCAACATTCAGCTTCATACAACATGGCCGGTCTAACTCCATATAACATGGCCGGTCTAACTACTCTTAAGTCTAGGTGGCACATTCTTGTCACACAAAATACCAGAAGTGAGCCTCCATTTTATCAATCCCGCTCCAATACGGTGCGACATCCTCGTCGATTTCCCTGTTATCTTGTATCACAGACCCAAGATATTTGAAACTATCTCTTCTGGGGATAACTTGTATATCCAGCTTCATGTCCACCTCTGCTTTATGAGCCCCAGCACTAAACTTACACTCCAAGTACTCTTCGTCCTGCTCAACTTGAAACCTTTAGACTCCAGGTTATGTCTCCACACCTCTAGCCTAGCATTAACCTCATAATGCGTCTCATCAATACCCACTATGCCATTTGCAAATAACATAGCACATCCATCGCTAGGGCAAATAAAAATGGACTAAGAGCTGATCCTCAATGCAACCCTATCTCTACTAAGAAATAGTCCGATTCACCTCCCACAATTCTCACCCGAGTCTTAGCTCCACCATACATGTCCTTAATCACCCTAATGTACGCTATTGGGACACCTCTAATCTCTAAAGATCTCATGTGATGACCCAAAAAGTCATCTTATGTTTTAGAACTCGATTCTGTGCTCTTAAGCCTTAAAATTTTCATTTTTACCCTCCTCGATTTGAGTGCATAGTCCACGTGTGTTTCCAAAAAGCTTTTATGTTAAAAGTGGACAAAAATAAGGAATTTTGCTTAAAACCCTCATTTGAGTTGACTCCGGTCAATATTTTTGGTGAACGAACCCGGACTCATATTTTGATAGTCCTGGTGGTCCGTATAGAAATATGGGATCTGAGCATATGCCTGGAGTCGAATTCGGAGGTCCCTAACCCGAGTTATGAATTTTTTTTGAAAATTAAAAGTCTGAAAATTTAGTTGTTTTTAAGAAATTATTGATGTTTGATCTTATCTGTATCAGGTCCGTATTAGTTTTGGAGCCCAGTACAGGTCCAACATAATATTTATAACTTATCTGTAAAATTTGGTGAGAAACGGAATTGGTTTGACGTGATTCGGACGTCCGGTTGTAAAGTTAGAAATTTTATAGCTTTCTTGAAAATTTCATTCGATTTGGTACTAAATTCGTAGTTCTAGGTGTTATTTTGGCGATTTTATCGTGCGAGCAAGTTCCTATGATGTTTTAGGACTTGTGTGCATATTTGGTTTGGAGCC